TAGCTTGGGTACAAGTTAAGAGTCAGCCAAGTATTGGAGCATTTTGGAGGTTTAAGGGCTTTTAGGGCCCAACAGAGATGTGACTATTCTGCTGAAGATGGGATTCAAACCGGCAACCTTCCAGTCACAGATATTTTACTTCAACCCTGTTCACTCAGTATTAATTTGTAGGTAGAATGTAAACATCTATGTTGTCCAGTTACTATGTGACAAAGCCATGCTGGGAGGTGAACTGATGACTTCAGTCTGGGTGAATTGGGCTGCCTGGGTGTGTTCGAGCAAACGCCTTGCGATGGAGAGACGTCCATTCCCCATTCACAGGAAACCAGGTCGTATTAAGCTACTGTTGCTAATAGACTAAGCTTACTTAATTCCTATAAAGCTCAACCCAGCTTTGGAGAAACGGGGGAAGAAAACAGTTTGCCGTAAAGGGCCGGTGACTGGATCGTGCCACGATTGTAAGCCGACACAGTAAATACCAGGATGTGCCTGGGATCCACCCCGTCCTGTCAGCAGAGCAATGGGCGGGATGCAAGAGAATCCCTTAATGCGGGGGAAGAAAAATGACCTCATCGGGTCTCACCCACGCCCAGGATAAAAGTTTGTTTATGCAACCCAGGCAGTGGAGGTGATCACAGCAAAGTTGGGCACAGCAAAGCAAAACTTCAACTGACAGCAACACTTTGGTCATATTCATCAAAAATCATTAAAGGAGAAACATAATGAAATGAACTTCTGGAAGAGCCCTTTGGTAATAATTAATGCCAATGGACATATAATATGGTAATAAACTGTAATTTATTCTACTGTGATTGTAATTAGTTAGCTCTGTTTGTGTATGCCGTTCGCACAATGTAAAATTTGTACAAGAAAGCAAATTGTGCCATTTCTGACATGCCAATTAGATGAATCCCTGAGCCATTTATGCGCCATATTTTTTTCCTGGAAGGAGAGCAATTGTACTAGGATTAGGGTCTGTAAATGTGCGCGTTTTCACTAAACAGAGGTTGATGGTGGAGGTATTCAGGAGCTATCAAATAGGGAGAATCCTGGGAGGGTGTTTTCTCCTATAATGGGGGTGCCTTGTCCTGCTTCACTGGGTGCCTCTCTCACACGCGCCTGCCCAATTATGGAGCAGGATCACAAAAGCTTAACCACAATCAGTCAGCTTCTGCTCTCTAGTGCCCCCTGGTGGTTAAGCTGAGGGAGTGGCAGTGGGAGGAAGGTTATCTGGGATTTGGGTGTCAGTATGTCCTGTACCAGCAGGTCTAATGAATAATGGCCATGTTAGAGTGAAGAAGTGGCATTGCTTGTAGCTGGAGTCTGGCCTACTTGTCCTGTTCTGCTGACTTTTTAAAACTGGAAGAACTCTGCAATCACTCACTGGTTCCTTGAGGACTGTGAATTTTGCTCCAGTCTGCTGTGCCCTCCATGTACTACAGCAGTGTTTCCCAATCTGGCCCTTGGGGACCCACAGACAGCCCACTGTCTGGCAGGGAGCAAAAACGTGGACCGACTGTGGGTCCCCGAGGACCGGATTGGGAATCACTGTGCTACAGGTAATTTATATTCATGTTATGGCCTGAATGGTACAATCCACCAGGTATACTCTGCAGGGGTACTCTGGTAGCAAACCAGCTAGCTGAGCTTAGCCGAAAATCCTGGGGCTTTTCTCTGTGTAAATACCAACCAACCAACCAACCAACCAACCAGTTGTGAACGTGACTCTTTATACTCAACTAGATGGTTGAAACAAAATCCTGGTCTGGATTTGTACTTTCTGAACCTGAACTTTCCATCTCTGGTAAATAGTGAGTAAAGAAGAGCTCAGTGTCTCATCAGTACACGAGTTCCCGGTAATCCTGCTTATGCACAGAGGCACCTGGTCTAGGATGAGAAGGAGCTCTCAGCGAATCAGTGACATCGATCCGTAGCTTGTATTAATGTTGATGTTGTATTTGCAAACTTAATAAAAAAAAAATGAGCACACAAATACTGATAACAGTAGGTCTATTTTTATGTACGGAAAACAACAAGAAACAAAAAATAATGCACAGTGTTCCTCAGATAAAGGTGTCCCTATAATTTGTCATTATAACGCGGATACATCGAGTACCTTGCTTATGTGCCCAACATCAAAGAATTATTTTGCACAAGACTTCACACTTCTGCCACATAATTAGCAAGTCTTATGGATCTGGTAATGCTGCTTTTATACTTTGATGAATATATTCATATTTTAGAATGCATAATGGGTGTTATTCATATAGGAAAAGCAAGGTAAGAGCTATTATTATTATTATTGAACACCAGGGTTGCTAAGTAACAGAACATGGCTTTTTCAGGGTGAGTACGTTCAAGTGTTAAGTGCTTTGTTTTCACTGTGCTGTCTGCATAGTTATATCATGTATCTTCTCTGTGAAAAAAAATCTGTCCTGGTTAGTAAGTTGTGTTTTGAAGGTGTGGAGACTTTCTGTGTGTGATGATGACTTGGTGTGTGTTTGGCAGAGGAGTAGTCAGGCTTTAGCTATAAGCTGGCATTTATTTATTTATTTATTTTTTGCTTTATTAATGCATTTCCAGGTACTGCTGCAAACGGTGACCCCCCCCCTGCTCACAGCTTCGCAAATAGGCTGTCGTTAGCCTCATCTCCCACGCTAACGGCTGCAGCCCCCGGGCTGCATTGCTAATAGGCCGAGGACTCCCTTAGCGAAGGTTTCTCCAAACGCAACGCTGCCCCCTGCTGTCTGAGTCCCGGCGTCTGCTCGAGTGGAGGGTATACACGCCGCCGGGCTGCTTCCCACTCCTCGGGCTGCCAGGCGTAGGTTTGTTTCGTGCGTCTGACACCGAGGTGGATTCTTCATGGGGGAGAGAGGTCTCCCACTCTAAAGCCATCAGCACAGACGACTTTACCCACGGCCCCTAAGCTCTCTCAGTGGAATTGCCCACAGCACAGGCTGCCATTTGGCACCGTGCCGTACGTCCAGCGGCTGTGTACAGATCCACAGGGTGCGTAGAAAATAACATGGAAACTTTGCAGTTGGATCGCAACCAAAGAAAATAATCTCACTCCGACAGAAGATCTTCGGGGTGAAGTGGAACAAAGAATCTGGGCAGGGCCGAGATAACCCTTTCGAAAGCAGGGTCTGCTAATGCTCGGGAAGGGGCGCGGAGCACAATGATGCCGAAGCTTCAATCGAAATGAGAATGATGGTTTCCATGATGCAATAATGTAAGAATTAAGGCCAATAGAGGACAGAAACAGAATTCGTTTTGGGAGATTTGGGTTTTGTTCATACGAAACACATGACACCAGGTAACTCGAATTGGTAACGCTTTCCATTAACGGCACTCTCATAATGCATTCATTATGCATTTGTGGAACATTCAGTGCATATTCATAATGCATTCATAGCACATTCATAAGCAGCATGTAAGTATACCTTAACATCCTATCATACCTTAATAGCTTTAATATACATTACTAACAAACATTATATGATAATAACAAAAATAATAATTGTATAATCATATAATGTTTGTCACTAATGTATATAAAAGCTATTAAGCTATGTTAGGATGTTAAGGTATACTTACATGCTGCTTATGAATGTTCTATGAATGCATTATGAAGGTGCACTGAATGTTCTATGAATGCATTATGAAGGTGCACTGAATGTTCTGTGAAATCATTATGAAGGTGCACTGAATGTTCTGTGAATGCATTATGAAGGTGCACTGAATGTTCTGTGAAATCATTATGAAGGTGCACTGAATGTTCTGTGAATGCATTATGAAACTACACTGAATGTTCCACGAATGCATTAAGGCATTATGAAGGTGCACTTAATGTAAAGTGTTACCCTCTAATTTGCCTTTTGTTTGTGACTGTATGAGGACGTCTGCGCGTGTTTGCATATGCCTGCAAAAGCCTTTGGGTGGCCTGGCTCCCATCCTGTACTCTGTCTTACATCCTACGTCTGCTATGAAAAGCAACCGTATCCTGAGACTCAGCTCGGATGGATGTGGGTGCAGTGTGTATGTGTGTGCACGCACACCTCCATCCATCCATCCATCCATTATCCTGGTCAGGCTTGCGGAGTACACCCACACCTGAAAAACAGAAAGATATCATAGAGTTGTAAGTAAAAATGACTGTGGAAAATCACCATCTGAGCATAGCCACATTCCCTAGCATAAAAGCCCCACTGAATATGTTAAATAATGAATGGGGCTTGCAAAGGTTCTCACAAATAATTGTCATTATTGATATTTCACATGGAGCAACAAAGCTATATAAAAATCATTAAACTAGGTTCAGTTTTTTTTTTTTGCTATTTTTGTGTATTTGTGTTGTATTGTGTGGATGTGTCAGCGCATTTGTTTTGGTTTATAGAGTACACACAATGACAAAGAGGCAAAAATAATGATTGTAACCCGGACAAAGCCAGTCTTCATGAACTCCCGATTGAAAAATGACTCGGTTGGTTTCCACGGAAACCATCAGAATGTTGTGGTAGGCCTGAGTCCTCTTCAGCCGCTGTTAATCATATTGCTAAATGCGATGTTTAAATTGATGTACCTGACATGCAGTGATATTGTCTGAAAGGAGACAATATGTGGATTAGTTTAATCATTCTTCCTTTAAGACATCATTACTATCAATCAGTTTTCTCATGAGCAAATTGCAGCTCAGGTTCTGTGACAGGTCATCACAAAAGTTATGCTGTCATGCCCATTATGGAAGCAGGCAGATTGGGCCGATCCATTTGTGGCAGAGGCGGGGAGTGGTGACTTCTGTCCCGAATGTCTTGAAATCTGGACCCCAAAGTCTTTGGCCCATGGTATTGTCATTGTATCCTAAACTGTGGTGTTGAGCTTCAACTGCACCAGATAACTTGTAAAAAGGCTACTAACGAAAAAAAAAACAATACCACAGAAGTCACCTAAGTGCCACTTTGATGTCTAATGACCTAAACTAAGCACACCTACTGTTGCAGGCTGGATCAAGCATGGAAGAAGACAACAGCATTTATGAAATGATGGGTTCATCTGGTAAGTGGAGAAGTCATTTTGGGTGAATATTGGTGGAATGTGTGTGTGTGTCTGTGTGTGTCCATCCATGGTCCTTTTGTGCCATCAACCTTGAGGAGCTCATCCTACTCTTTATTTCTCAGGTTATCACAGCACCAATGATGACGGAGAAGAAGGCGGAGAAGAGGAGAACAAACAGGATGGGGAGGAAGAGGAGGACCCTTATGCACTCTTTGGAGGTGATGATGAGGAGTATGACACAATCCTGGCCTCCAACAAGCCTGTGATCATCGCCAACCGACCCCCGGCACCAACTCCAAGACCAGATACGATGCCACCTAAAGCAGACAATACTCCCTATATAGCTCAAGGTAGGACAATGCTCTGATTAGTCTCACCTAGTTATTCCCATGCATGATAACACGCATGTAATATTTCATGACTTGCATGCCTATGCAAATTGTCAGACTTTCTTCATAATACAAAATATAAATCATATGAATGATGGTGAGAGTCATCCTGGCTCATCACAGGAACAGGGGTTTGTAGATGGACAATTACAGACGAAGGAGCCAAGCCGCTTGAGTTGTTAGGTACTATATATCGTTCATGTGCTCATGGTTTCTTTATTTTGCTCCTTGGAGACCTTTGGCTTCCCTTCTTAACAGAGACCATAGCAGCTTCAGGCTGAGATGGAACTATGTTATACATATTTTATGGATAATAATGTTCATAAAATCAACTTTACTCCTAGTAGAATCATAAGGCATTCATGAACTACTACTGCAGATCAGTGGTAAAGCCAATTGTAGGCAAACCCTCCAACAAGGGTTTTCACAGGTAAACCCTTCAACAAGGGCTGTCATAGGCAAACCCTCCAAAAAGGGCCTTCATAGGCAATCCCTCCAACAAAGGCTTTCACAGGCAAACCCTCCAACAAGGGTTTTCACAGGTAAACCCTTCAACAAGGGCTGTCATAG